CCCCCCCCCCCCCCCCCCCCCCCCCACATCCCCGGGCTTAGTTGGCTAACATTGTATCTCCTGTAACCTAACTGTGTTCCCCTCCTCACCCCCATCCCTCTATTGTTAGTCCCTTGCTCGGGCAATCTGTATTTCCCTACCAGCTTTGTCATCTTTTTTTTGGATTCCCAATCCTAAACATTTACTAATAAAAGTCATTCTTTTGTTTGCCACATAGGAGCTGGGGGAGCTGCTGTGGTATGTGGTGCCCCCTTCAGAGTAGGATGCAATGGTTTAACATGCCACAGTGACTAAATATCAAGCCCAGAAGCTTATTATAGAGAAGCAAACTAGTTTGGCTCTGTGACAAAGGAGGCTAGGCAAACTGGATTCTAGCCTGCAGATACCGCAGAGATACCAGAGAGCTTCCTGACATTCACAGCATGTGGTTTGGTTGCTTCAAACTGTGCACAAACAAGAATGTTCAGTGATTCTAGCAAGCCACCAAGACTTTAAGATATGCAAGGAGAAGGAGGAATACAGTGCCTTTTAAAAGCACCTTCTCATGCTTTTCTAATGAGAATTTCATGGAAAAAATGGCACTTTGGGGTAACCAGATAAAATTCTCTCTACTCAATACCAAAGACTATAGCAAATAACAGTAGTGCAATACCTTTTCAAAAAAGAACAAAAGAATTCCTTTCTATTCGGCACCCTAAGCATAGAGTTTGCCACCAGACCTCCCTCTACAACAATCAAGTCTCTCAGATACCTTTTTCCCTATGCTAAGAACAGCAAAACCCCCAAGAAATAATACCAAAAACAATACCTTAAGTTTTATTTGTGTGTTTTGAGATCCGTGACTTACCACGGCATTCCCTGGAGCTGAAAGAGGAGTTGGCAAAGGAAGTAGCAAAAATGGATATGATGAAATTTAGGAATTGATGCAAACCTGACTCAGATCAGTATACAGGCATAAATTTTATTTTCTGTAAAACTGGGTACATCCCAACCTCATAGGAATGCTACATTAAAATAAACACATGAAAAATTGCGAGGTGATCAGATACTAAAGTGCTGATGGCCAAATAAGGATAATAGAAACAGAAAAAGATAGAAAAAATATTGTTTAACAAGTTTGCCAAATACAAATGTAAGCCTTACTCTTCTAAAATTCTTTGGATAAGCCCTAAATCCTTTTTTAAACAGAAGTATAATATTTGATACCCTTCAGTTATCAGGAATAGTGGCTGTTTTTATTCAGAAACTGTATGTTTGTTACCAGTTCAGCTACTGTGTACTTCTGCTCCTTCAGAACTGCTGAACCAGCAAATCATCTTGGACTGGTGACTTACTGCCTTTTAAAATTATCCATTTGTTTCAGTGCCTCTACTTACATCTCCTCAATTTCAGCTTTATTACCAAAAAGAACACCCCATCAGTGAAAACTGATGCAAAGAAAACATTAAGATTCTCAGCCATGTCTTTTGCTTTCCTTAATTGTCCCCTTTAAGACACTGATTCTTTCATAGGTTTCCTGCTTCTGATGCATTTAATCTCACTTGCTATTATACTTTTAGCTATTTTTAAAAAAAACACCCATTTATACCTTTTTAAAAGTTTCCTCCTTATTGCTTGCTGTAATTTTATGCTTCTCTGAAATCAGCGCAGAGAAAAAATCCAATGAAATGCCAAAGAGGTTGAGACAGTGTCTTAACTGTTAAACAGTGCCAAATGCAGAATGCTGCAAAATAGGCACTTGGAAAGGCAGGAAAAAAATAGCTCAGTAGAGCTGGTGGGGCACACTGTACCATATAAATAACCTCAACAAAGCCACGAGCACAAAGACAGCTCAGCACTGACTATGCCAGCCAGAATGTTGGAAAGCCAGTCAGACAGAAAGTTATTCATTGGAGCTGACTAGAACGTAAATGAAAGCAATGCCAGCATGATGGCAGATCCAGTCCAGTCACTGCTTCCAACAACCTTTGCATGGCAATTAACTTATAGCAGTTTGCTGGAAGGCTCTCATACATGAGTGAAAACTAATGGTACCCAAGTTCGGAAAGTATGGAAACAAGGCATGCGTGTCAAGCCAGCACTACCCAGAGCAAGTAAAAAAGCCAAAGTTCAGTTATACTCAGTGATACTGCATTGAAGATTATGACTTATATTATCTTCCACTCTATAACCCTTTTCCAAATCTAGTGGATTTGGCACCAGGTAACTCTGCTAGTTTAAGAAGAACTTACTGAGCAGTAGAAAGCTAGCACAGCCACATAATGCCAATTTTTGCTGATCTTCCCCAAGAGAAAGGGCCAGGTCTCCTAGTATTATTGTTTGGACTCTCGTATTTACTCAACTATAAGATAAGGTCCTCCTCCCCACCCCATTGGCATAGGGGAAAAAAAAGCCTTTCATCTTATAATCGCAAACAAAGAAATCTCACTAAATACACTACCACTACGCTGCTGCCAAAAACAGCATGTGCTCAGCAATGGAAGCCAACTATGAAGCTGATTCAATGCAGCCAACACTGAGCATGACAATAAAACATTTTGGGTAAACATGCTCATGGGAATCTTTTTTTTGGCCCTTAAAAAAAAAAAATTAGGTGGGTGTTCCCTTCATAGGGAACCAACACCAGGTCTGAAGGTACTGCAATGGGATGGCCACAGTGAGCCCTGATACCCTCCACTGGGTGCCAAAAATGTTAAAGATCACAATGACCAAGTTTGAGGCACAAGGAAATATAGAAGACCCATGTGAGGGACTCTGTAGCAGAGGGTGGGCAGTAGGGCTGTGCAAAATTTCGACGAGTGTTTTGTTTCGCAGATGTTTTGACGTGTTTCGAGCTTGAAACAGTAAAATCAAAATGAAACAAAAGGCTTTGAAACAAAATGAGGGCACTCGAAACGTTTCTAAAGTTTTGAGTTTCGAAGCAGCCCAGTGATGGGAGGCAAGGGAGAGCCAGGGCCGCACTCCAAGCGGCTCTGCCAGCCCCATGGAGCTCAGCCCAGTGGTGGGAGAGCCAGTGGCGGAGCCACTCAGAGTGTAGCCCTGGCCAGTGGCTCTCCCCCGTCTCCTGCCGCCAGGCTCACCTTTGCAAGGCTGCGGAGCCTCCCGCCACTGGGCTGTGCTCACCAGGGCAGCACTCCGAGCAGCTCCACCACTGGCTTTCCCGCCACTGGGCTGAGCTCCATGGGGAAGGCAGAACCACTCAGAGTGCAGTCCAGGGGTGGGAGGGGGAGGAGAGCCTGGGCTGCACTCTCAGCAGCTCCACCAGCCCCACGGAACTCAACCTGCACTCCCAGCACTGCTGGACTCCTCCACGGGGTGCGGGCCCCCAGATCTGCGCGCAGGATGACAGGAGGTTGGCACTGCTGTCTGGACCCAGCAACAGCAGCAGTCTTCCCAATGCTGGGTGCGGCTGCACTCAGCGCTGGTCCCAGGCGGCAGCCTCCTGTCATCCTGAATGCAGATCCAGGGGCACACACACCCAGCAGGAGTCCGGCACAACCCCACACCCCTCCTGGGGGCGCAGGCCTCCAGATCTGCACGCAGAATGACAGGAGGCTGCCTCAGCCAGCAAGTGACACAAGTTTTGCTTTTAGAAGTTTGAGGTGCAGTTTCCCTGAAACCCCTACACCTCTCTCCTTAAAACTTGGCAGGGTTAATGCCCTCAAAAGGGGCTATCATCCCTGGAATTTTCATCTGAATCAGGCAAGAAATGACAAAGTTATAGTCATTTTCATGATTCCCCATTATAGCCTAGGGGTGAAACGTCAAAATACGTCGAAACACTTAAATAATTTTGATGAAACAAAATGAAACACTGTCTCTTCAAAATGGCGAAACAGAATTTGAAATGAAATGGTGCTGGCACAGCCCTAGTGGACTTAGGGGTGTGAATGCAACTAAGTTGCGTATGAAACATGCAGCCAACTAAGCCTGGGGTGAAGGGGTGGGAAGAAGGAAAGGAGGGGAGGAGACGTAATGCTTATACAGCAAAGGACATATACGAGACCCCGCACAACAATACAATATTCAAGTAGAAAGATGGTTTGTAGGTACACACAGAGTTACAAATAGTGTTATGTGGGATACTATTGTGAGGGAAAGGAAGGATTTAAAAAGTCCTTAAGAGTCCTTTAGGTGTAGCAGCGAGGGGCAGTCAGGCAGTCCCCTCTGCATCGCTACCAGATGGCAGTCTGGTGGGGTTAACTTATTGGTGCTGTCCTGCGATCTGCTCCATGTAGACCAGTCCCTGGACCAGTGGATGGTGTCAGACACCATGAGGCACTGCATCAGCTTAGCATAGCGGCAAGATATGCGGCAGGAATGCAGGATGCTTTTGTTGCTGGGGTCCCATGCTCCGAGCACCCCGATGATCAGTGCCTTGACTGTCATGTCATATGGCCAGCACCTCAGGATGTCTGCCAGCAGCTGGTACTTGTCTTGCTTCCCTTCACAGACTTCAACGAAGGCTTGCTGCCAGTTCTCAAAGGGGATGGTGACATCTACCATCACCATATACTAACACCACTTGCTGTTCTCATTGGTCACAATGATATCCAGGTGCAGCTGCCTTCATAGCCTGGGATGGTGTGATTGACAGAAACAGTCCCCACCGAGGCTAGGATAGCTGTGGCCAGCCAGTCCTGAACAGCACTGTGGTGTAGCTGCCACATTCTTGCACAGCACATAGGTGAGAGTCTCTGCCTTGTTGCCATAGGCACCTCTTGTCATGGTTCCTATACTGGACAGCAGTATTGAGCAGCAGGCAGTTGAAGCGGATGCGGTGAATGAAGCACCAGTCCGTAAACCATGTGAAACTGCTGCTGGGCATGAAGTGCTTGCGCTACATTTGATCTTAGCCAAAAAGGCCAAGATGCTGATGGGAACCCACCATTAGGACAGGCTAGTGCAGCCCATCTGAATAAGACACATGATTGTACCCATTGAAAAATCAGTCCCACTCACCACTACCTCTTTTTCAAAGTGAGCCATTACATTGTATACATTTTGGCTTCCTCTTCATTCCCACAGCTGAGCTCTGCCTCTTTCCTATTTTGAATGATTTCTGTTTCTTCACCAACTTTAAATGCTTCACAAACATCACCAAAGGGCAACAAACAGTTAACCCAGAATACCACTGTCGCCCCTTCTCTCAGCCTGGCACACAAGATTAGCGTGGCTGCACCTTCCATGAGGTAAAGCTGGTTCAGGTTGACCTGCACCTCATCTGTATATAAATTTTGGAGTATCCCAGGATTCGTGACAAGAACACCCAGTTCCAGTCACAAGGAGGGGGTAATTAGCACATGGCTCCTTCATCTCACACACACACACACACACACACACACACACACACACACACACACACACACACACACACAC